ACATATAAATAATAATAATTAAATATTAATAATAATTCTACTATCTTAGCAATGAACTGCTATATTATATTATAATAATACTCTCACATTCTATCATGCAATATTTGTCTTTTTTATTAAATTACAAATATCCCTAAGCTCTATACTAACAGCTGCTTTAGAGTACTGTCCAACATTGATGCTTTCGACTGTGATATATATCACTACAAAGCTCATGGTGGCTCTCAGCAGTATTTTCACTTTAATTCAAGGAAGAAAAACTTTAAATCTAGAATCGCAATAGAAATCGAAAGCACACAGAAACCATATGCTACTGAAAAATGAACCAAGCTGCTCAGAGACGAAAACAAAATCATTAAAACTTAGGTATAGATAACTCTTATACGTATAATCGCCCCACAGTTCTTAAACATATTCCCAATAGAGTATCTTATCTTTGCTTAGCTGCGCTCTCAACTCTTTTCCTCGCAATTCACGTTAAAACGGCCAACAGCCAAAGAGAGAAAAACATTTCAATTGCTTTTATTTCAGTATTTGTTTTTTCTTTTTTTTTCTTCTTGTTCTTTTTCGTTTCCTGTTTTTATTGCAATTGCAACTGCTTTTGTTGGTCCTGTTGTTGAGTTAATGGGATTTTGTCTGGCCTTAGGTCTATGGGTCTATGGTCTGCGCGCTCGCAACAGTTATTTAGTTCAATAACAAAACTCTGCTCGCTGCACTCGTGTATATGATGAAGTCGGAGTTGTAGCAATTAGTGGACAAACTTTATGAAAAGTTGCCAATGCGCCTGAGTGCAGTTCGTTGTTCGGCTTGATGGGGCAATTGACAAAGTTCTTCAACAATGTCCAATGAATTCAATTTCAATTTCATATCACAAATGAAAGAGAGAGAGTGAGAGGGATAGCTCTGCATCATAAAGCTTTCCAGCTGAAAAATAAATCATAGCATTTGAGTGCTCTACAGATTGTCAGCCATTTAGCTAACTAAATTTAATATACATATTTAATTAAAACATTTTGCTTGATAAAAAGCCACTGCTAATTGGCGCATTGTCCAGACAAAACTTCTAGTTGGACCACAGAAAATAGAATTAGAAATAATACAAAAAATAAAATAAAATAAAAGCCAGATGGAGTAGAGAGATAAAGGCTAGAGCTAAAGATTATGCTGACACAAATGACAACTAAATGGGCGGCCTGGGGGCGTGGCAAACACTGCTGCGGGTGCAACCTCGCTCACTCGCTCTTTGTCTGTCTGTCCGTGGGTCGCTCTGTCCGCTCTGTTGGTCTGTCTGTGTGGCAGCACATAAAAAGGCTCTGCCAGTTGCAGGCATTCAACATATACAAAACTTTTTGTATATTTATTAGACTATGAATTAATTCAAGTGTGAGTGAGTGTGTGTGTGCCGACTGAGTATGTGTATGTGTGTGTGTGTGTGTGTATAAAAGGATTTCGAATGCCTCTGACTGTGGCTGCTAAGTAAACGCGCGATTTTCGTACTATGCCCCGCAGCGAGCTGCTTGCAAACGTCAGCAAAAAATGTTTCCTTTTTTTACAAATACTTTTTACTATTTTTTGCTTTTTTTTCACATTTTTATGTTATATATTTTTTTTTTTTTTTTAATTTTATTTATTTTTTTTTTTTGTGTGTTCGTCCTTTACATGTTGCGGCTGACAAGCACCGCCAAGCCCGTCTTGTACCTCTATGCACAGGGCAAAAGCACAGCGCAAAAAATGTATGCTATAGCCTTGTCATAAAGAGCAGCAACAACAACTACAACAGCTCAGCACAAAAAACATCATTCGCAATTCAAAATTAAAAGCGATTCGCACAAGACAAAAGAGCGAAACTAGATGCCCAAATAAAAAGCAGAAATAAAAAAAAAAAGAGAACAGCGAGTATAAAAAGCAGAAAATAAAAGTTGACCCTGCGCATCGGACAAACAGTTAGTTGCATTTATTAATAGCCAAGGCAATGCATATGTTGTGGGCGTGGCTGGGCGAGTGGGCGAATTCTCGGTCTTAGAGGCGATTACCTTGACTATGAAAATATTTCTCACACATGAGCTGCTTGGGCGCATCGCCCTGTCTCTGCTCTGCTGCTCGCTGGCCTGCATTTCCCTCGTCCGTTAGCAGCATTAACATTTTAGCCAGCCCAAACGACACATATATACACATATATTACGACACATATACATGTATGTATGTATATACACATACATATACGTAAGCCAACACTTGAAACCTATTTTGAGAAGCTAATGCGAGGGAAGTTTCTTGAGAACTCAACCAAAGTTTTATATTATCTGTGAGTTGATTAATAAATGTATTATTGAAGTAGGCAAACACACAGAGAATATTTAAGTTAGCCAAGGCATATTTGAAGCGTGCGGTTTGTCTAGGGAATTTCTTGCAATTTCTGTGGAATTTGAGCCTCATTTCAGAAATTTAAAATGTAGAAAGCAAAAATATTAAAATATTCTTTATTTTAAACATTCTCTTTCAGCTTCTCTCTCTCTCTCTCTCTCTCTCTCTCTCTCTTATCTTTATATCTTTCTGTCCCTCTTTCTGTGCATTCCTGTCTTAATTCTTTCCAATCGCTCTCTCTCTTTTTCTCTCTCACTTTCTCCCATTCTCTCTTTCTCTATCTCTTTCCCTCTCTCTTTCTGAATCACTGCCTATCTCCTTCTATATTTATCATTATCGCTCTATCTGTCTCTCTCTCTCGCTCTCGCTCTTGCTCTCTCTCTGTCCCTCCCTCTCTAGCTAAGCCTCTCCCTCTTTCTCTCTCTCTCTCTCTCTCTCTCTCTCTCTTCTCCCCTTCTCTCTGTTTCAGTTCCGTGGTGTCGATCTCCTGCTTTCCATCTCTCTCCATCTATTTCTCTCTCTCCCTTACCACTTTACGTTAATCTCTCTCTCCGTGTAACATTTCTCCCGCATAATAGCCATCAATATCCAAACTTTTCTTCAGTCTTTAGTAGCTAAGATAAAAAAAGAATTAAAAGCCAACAAAACAACAATAAAAACTTTATTACTTCCCTAAAATGAATTGAAAAAAGTTTTATCATATATTAATTATAGCACAACTTTATGTGCAACCTTCGCAATTCACCTTAGCGGTTTACTCAGTCTGTGTGTATCTTTCGCTGGCCTGCAACCGCACACAATTCTAACACGCACACACACACTCTGACACACACCAACACTCATCAGAGTGGCAGTGTTTGTTTAGTGTTTGTTAGATTGCTGCTTGGGCGGCTGCTCACCTGCCGTGCACCTTGACACAGACAAAGGTCACCTAATGTGTTGCATTCTACTGCACACAAAAGGACAAGTGGCACAACGAGAGGCGGAGCGACAGAGCCAGAGAGAGAGCGAGAAAGGCGACGGCACTCTGTGTGTATTAAATGATTACACTTATGCAAAAGGTCTGCACACACCTGACTTTATTGTTTTTATTATTTTCTCTCTTTTTTTCTTGCTGCCATGCAAAACAAGCAAAAATAAACTTAGTTGACAAACTGAACTCGACAGCTTTTAGCTGCGAAACGGCGGAGTTTTCAGCTCCGAGCGAAACTCTCCGGGTGATTCGTAGGGCAGTCGTCGCCGATGCTCCGGACGATAACCAGTGTCAGGCAACGCCAGCACCACTTGCCACAGACCCACCAGCAGCAGCAGCAGCAGCGGTAAAACTTGTTGTGTTCCCAGCAACATTTTGAAATGAATTAAAGCTCATGGAATCGCAATAGGCAATAATCAATAGAGGCGGGTGATAAGTTGAGGCTGTCAGTTGAGGTCATTGCCAGATAGCTACAGAGATGGAAAAACATAGACCGAAAGACAAAGAGAGGGAGAGGGTGAGCTAGTTGTAATTCTATTGAAAAGGTGTAGTTGCATAAGCGGCTGCTACACTGCACTACAAGCTGAGAACTGAGAGTGGAGAGCTGAGAACTGAGAGCGGAGCAGCTTTTTAATTTAATCTCTTTATTCAATTAAGAAAGGTCAGCGTGAAGTGCGCTACAGTTTGAAAGCCATTAGCGATTCAGTTTAGCTGCTACACTGTACTACAAACTGCACAAATAGCAGCTTAACGGATTTTCATAGAATTAAATTTGTATAAAATTTAATAAATTACTAGAATTAAGAGTTTTTATAATTTAGTACATTACTGGAATTAAGAGTTGATCCAATGGAATAAACATTGTACTACAGTACTATAAAGTTTTAATGGAAAAGTTGAGTATTAGTGTTCCAAAATGAGATAGACAGTAGCTACATCACTAATGCTTTAACACTATACAACAAATTTTAAATCCATAAATCGGTTTCAGAAGTAGATATATGTATATACAGTGAGTAACATTAATATTCTGTTTTATGTGCGTTTGTTGTTGAAAAATAAAAATAAAATAAAATACATAAATAAAGGAATATTAATGTTACTATTATATATATTATATTATATTATTTTTGCCTTTAAAAAATACTAACAATACGCCCTAAACTATAAGCTTTAAAGCCATAAATTCCCTTACAAGCCGTTGGCTTTAAACTAAAATATTTATGGGCTTTAGTGCTGCAACTATCGTTCATCGATAGATAAATCATAAATTATATTAGAAGCATTTTAAAAATCTATTTGCTAAACTTTTATTTTTATTTCCTTTTTAGCCGTTCTTCTGTTTTTAGCCATGTCTTTTGCGCTTTGTTGACCAAATCAAATAAGGTCTCATTTTTGGTTGCTTTTTAGACGCGTTTTTTGCTGTCGTTTCTCAGTTTTCATTTTTATTTTTTATTTCAATTTTTTTTTTTTTTAACATTCAACTGACAGAGTCTTTCTCATTCTCGAACATTTCAGTTTACGTGTTAAGTGCTTGGCAAGCACGATTAAGGCGCTTTATCACCCGCAACAACGGCAGCAACACGAACTGAAACAAAATCAACAGCAACAGCTGCGACGCCAGCAGCAGCAGCAGCAGCAGCAGCAACAGCAGCAGCAGCAACAAAGGCGCTTACGGCAGGCCTTGTCGCAGCAGCAGCAGCAACAGCGGCAGCAGCAGCAACAGCAACTGTTTTAAGCACTCGCACATACACTGGCACGCCCACTGGGCGTTAAGTAACAAGCAACAGCAACGGCAACAAGAACAAGAACAACATGCTGAGCACAATGACAACACCAGCCACATTGCTTGAGTTTGGGGCAATTGGTGATGTCCCAAGCATTTTGGAAATAGAACTGCCAGCCATATTGTTCAACGAGAGCCTCTTCATTGAACTGAATGGCAGCCTAACCCAGCTGGATGCTGGCAGCGGCGTCGGCAGTGGCGCCACCAACAACATCAACATCGGCAACAACAGCAGCAGCAACAGCAGCAGCGCAGCCAGCAATTACAACAGCGGCAACTACAATGGCAGCATTCTGCTCATCAACGGCAGCAGCGGCTACAACAGCAGCAACAGCAGCACCACCACCCATACAGGCAGCAATCTCACACAGCTGGAGGAGGAGCAACGTGTTGCCAATGAGCGTGCCGCAGCTGAATTTTGGCTATTGGTCAAAATGATAGCCATGACCGTTGTGCTTGGCCTAATGATACTCGTCACCATTATTGGTAAGTAAACAGAAATTCACAATCATTCAGATACTTAAGGAATCGGACAAGCGTATGGCAATTGGGTAACATCGACTGCATAATACTCATTCAGGTATTATAGATTAAGTTGCCACTAAAGGTAACATATGGGGTCTGCCACGCCTTCTTCTGCCTGCTACATGAATTTTAATCAAATTATTATGCCTTGACATTCCATTGTCAATGTTTTCTGGGTATTTAGATATACAGTTATATATCAAATTTCCCAAATATTATATGTATAGGATCCCAATCTTGATCTAATGGCATTACTAGGTTAGACCTTGCCGCTCAAACCAAATTTTATACAGAGTTCTCTCTACATGCCAAAGCCAATCTACCCCTCCTCTCACACCTCAGCGAGCGAGCATATTTCGATTCATGTCTTAAAGCAGCTGCTATCATCTATGTGGCAAGTTGCAAGTGGCAAGTGGCAAGTGGGTGTGGCATGCTGCCAGATTTTGTAGCCGTTAAATTATTCTCAAATTTATGCCGCCAAGAGGCAGAAAAAAAAAAAAAAAAAAAAAACTCCCAAAAAAATAAGGAACGTTGCCATATCGTCCAAACTGTAAATGAAGTGAAATTTATGATGCAGAAGATTTTTATTGCGCTGCTTGAAAATTTTATTGATTTTTGGCTTACGAAAGATGATTTGCTGCCGTGAAGTTTTCGCTGAGGCGGAGATGGATATGGAGCGGAGAGAGCAGCTGGTGGCTGGGGCGGGCGCGTAGGCGGGTATTTGGGGCTAGGGCTGGGCGTGGCAGTTATGTGCTTAGAGTGCGCGCGCGTTTTAAAAAGCTTTGCGTTAAACGTCGCACTTAGCGACGAGCAGCGGAGAGTTGAGTCGTGTCCTGTAAGTCCTTGCCAGCCAAGGACGACAAGCGACAAAAGCAAACAAAGTTTTCAAAAAAAAAAAAAAAAAATGTGTGTATATGTTGTTTTTTTTTGCTTTGTTTTTTATATAAAAATACATTTTTTAGACTTTATGTTGTTGTTGTTGTTGTTGTTGCCATCGACACGTGAAAAGCTATTAAAAGCGCGCCAAGGCGTCAAATGGAAATTGTGCAAACAAACGCACACAGCCTTAGCAGCACACCAACACAGATACGCATAGAAAGGGAGTGTGTGTGTGTGTGTGTGTGTGTGTGTGAATGTGTCTGCGTGCGATGCACACGGCGTATGCGCAACATTCGCCACTGTGGCAAGCGCCGCTGCTAGCATATGCAAATGCATTCTGCTTGGCCCTAGCACGACGAGCCCTGACAAAAACGTTTTGATAAACTACAGACAGGCGCTCAGTACTAGCAACAACAACAACAACAACAACAGCTGACAGACAAGCGACAACAATAATAGCAACAACAACAACAACAACAGCAGCTTGACATACCGACATAGTTAGAGACGAGCATCGGGTTGACAGAGGCAAAAGGCTTTTGAATGCCGCCGTGGCAATTACAATTTGCCAACTTGCATCATTTGCATCGCACAGAGAGATTGGCAAGCAGAACAACTGCCCCCACCCCACCCGGTTTCACCACTTGCAACTTGCCCCAAAGGCTATAGAAATTGAACTTGGCTCAGTTTGAGTAGAAACTCTGTGTGTGTGTGCGTGTGTGTGTGCGTGTGTGGGTGTCGGCATGTGCTTTGCCATGCACAATTGCCTGCAATTAGAAACGTGCTGCAAAGGCTGATTGATTTTGGCATAATAAAACAGTTCGTCCAGTGCCAGTAACTACTTTAGCTGTTCCCATTTCAATAGTATTTAACAGCTATTACTACTACTACTACTACTAGTACTACTACAACTAATGCTGCTGCCTGCAAATCAAAGTTTTCAGTTCATTGACTATCTATCTCATTGTATGCAGCACAAAAGTCGAGCGATTTAATATTTAATGCCATTCAAGCGAACAATTAAAATGCATTTTGTTGAGTCAAGGCAATTAGTTAAATATTTAAAGAACTAAACGAGCCAAACAAACTTTTTAATAGGTTTGAACCATTTTCATTTACGAACGGAATTGACGCAAAGCCTAAAAACTGTTGAACAAAGAAATTGTTGCTGTCCAGCTGTGTATAAAGGTCATGCCTAAAAGTTTATGTATACTTGATAATACTAATTAAATGTCTGTCCGTATGTACAAAGCTATTGAAAGACATAACTACAGAAAAAGCCGAAAAATTCTCCTATATTCATAATAATAATAAATCATTTATAATGAAGAATAACTTTTATACGTTTTCTTAAGCCTACGAGGAATTGAGCAAAAGAGTCTTGTATTTAAAATACGCCTTTTACAAATTTAAACTTAGTTAAGATAGATGCATGACAAAAGCTGAATGCTACGAGACTCCCTGGAACGTGCATTAATAAAACTTGTGGAAATATTGATCATAATTTGCTCGTTCAGAAAAAGTATAGCCCCATAAATGCCTCTGAAACTGTGGGCCAACTCTTCTAGTGAATGTGCCAAAAACAAAACCTGAAACTTGAGTTCGGGCAGCTGCATGACAAAAGCTGAATGCTACAAGACTCTATGTAAGGTACATCAATGCCAAGGACTGAATAATATGAATTCATTGTTCATGAAATAGAAAACATATTCATGATTCACAGAAATATAAATGCTCTTAATTTAGATCTTCTAGTGAATTTTTTAGCAGAAGCTAAATGCGATGGGGCTGCATGACAGAAGCTGAATGATATGACACTCGACGGATGGTATATTTATTTATCTTTCAGATCCATCAAAAAAAATCCAAATCATTTATGCAATGAAAGTTCTCTACAGATCATTTCATTACTTAGGTTTCTTTATTGTCAGCAAAAAAATTTGTTAGATATACGAATTTTTCACTACAATGATTTGAAGCCATAATCGTTGTTGAAAATTAGTGCATATCAAATAAACTGCATTAGCTGCCTTCACAAGGAACCCAAACCAAAACCGAACTCACTCGAGTCTACTTCTTCAAAATTGAGTAGTCTGTAGCCAGAAACCTCAGAGTGAAACTCAAAGCTAGAAAGCACATAAGCAATTTGACGAACCACATCTGAAGGCAGTGAATATGCAAATCACATTTTATATTTAAATTATTTGATACATATGTATGTGTATGTATAGCATATAGATACATATGTCTGATTTATTACTTCATTTCTCTTTCGCACTCGCAGGCAACGTATTTGTGATTGCAGCCATTATACTCGAACGAAACTTGCAAAATGTTGCTAATTATTTGGTCGCATCTCTGGCAGTTGCTGATTTATTTGTTGCCTGTCTCGTCATGCCGCTTGGCGCCGTCTATGAGGTAAGTTGTTGTTGTTATTGCTATACTATACCATATTATTGCTGCCTGTGTTGTGCAAGCGACTCTGGTTTTGTTGTCGCTAGCAGTCGCTGCAACTGCTTCAAGCGCAAACTTCATTACCCTAATGGAAACTTGGAATGAAAAGCGTGCAAATGAAATTACGAGCAAAGAGTTGACTTTGCCCCGCAGCAAGTGTCACGAACGCAACGGAGACTGAAGTCGATGTATGTGTGTATGCATGTGTGTGCGTGCGCCTGTATGCGTGTGTATGCGTAATGAGCCATTGCGCGTTGTTAATTGTTGAAATTGCGTCATCTTGCCAAAGACAGCGGAGAGGCAATGACATAATTTAATTGCATTCATTCCCGCTGGCAAACACTGAAAATCCATGTGCTTGCATTCAATTTAATTTAGATAAGCAACGGCTGGATCCTTGGACCGGAACTCTGCGATATTTGGACATCCTGCGATGTGCTCTGCTGCACAGCATCCATATTGCACCTGGTGGCCATCGCGGCAGACAGGTGAGTTATCTATTGTGTTACTCAGTTTACCTGTTGCATAAGTTGTGAGTCTTTTTTTTTTTCTTTGTGGAGTGAAAATGAAGTGAGTAGGGCCTTGCGTCTCGCTAGTTTATTATTCAGTTGCTCATAATGTTAGGGGTGGCTTATTCTTGTCATTTGCGCTTCTTGAAAATGCAATTCCTCTTCTTTTTAATTCAAACTGAATTATGGCATCTAACCATTGTTAAAATGATGGATTAGAAGCATGTCAAGTTTTCGTTTGCTTAATGGTAAATTTATGGGCAATAAAAAGAAGTATATAGCTATGAGAAAAGGAATTTTCACAATTTAAGGATTTTTGGATAATAGCAGGCGCTTATCGGATCGTGATCAGTTAAGCTTAGATCGCTCACTTATTGAAGTATATGTACATAAACTAACTTCGTTCTTCATCATCAATTTTCAAATATTACGAGATTTATAAAAAAGTTAAAGAATTCTATTTGCTATTCTTTTTGTTTATTTTAATTTTAATTTGTTTTATTATCTTCATATAATTCTTTTATTTATTTATTTATTCTTTTTTTTTATTTCTTTATTTATTCTTTTATTTATATATATATATATATTTTTTTTTTTTAGGACTTTCTAAAATTGTTTGGGTTTCCTACATACATTGGTAATTTAAGAGCCGCCGCTCGTCTAATAAATCAGCTTGTAAGAGATTTAAGTTCGTTCCAATTTCGCTGCCCCGATGTTCGATTCCAGCTTTTAGATCGTGCTAGTTAAATATCAGCATTAAGAGAACCATAGTTATTATTATCGCCATTAACGCTCGCATAATACAGATGTCTGTGCTCTAACAGTTATGACTGTTAACTCTATATTGGCTCTAATGGCTTACGTCTAGAGTAGACGTTCTTAAACAGTTAACAACAGCAAAAAGTTTTGCCTGAAAAATCTTGCTTCAAGAGCTACCCGAAAAATCTCGTTAGCTCAACACATACATACATATACATATATTTATCAACTTTCTCCCCACTCTTGACTCGTTAGTGTCTTTTATTTACTCATCCTTTCCTTACTTGACTTCTCACTTTCATTTCATTTGTATCTCTCTTTCTCTCTCTCTCTCTCTCTCGCATCTCGTTGCATTGCAGATACTGGACCGTCACGAACATTGATTACAACAATTTGCGTACTCCGCGACGCGTCTTCATCATGATATTCTGTGTGTGGTTCGCTGCGCTGATTGTCTCGCTGGCACCGCAATTTGGCTGGAAGGATCCCGAGTACATGAAGCGCATAGAGGAACAGAATTGCATGGTCTCGCAGGATGTGGCCTATCAGGTAACCAGAACACCGCTTGTCTTCTGTGTGTATGTGTGTGTTAATTCTTTATTTATTTGATTTTTCTTTCTTTTTTTCACGCAGATATTTGCCACATGTTGCACGTTCTATGTGCCGCTGTTGGTGATTTTATTTCTGTATTGGAAAATCTATTTAATTGCAAGGAAACGCATACAGCGTCGCACACAAAAATCATTCAATGTGACATTAACGGAGACCGAGGTGAGTCGAATGGAACGGATATGGGGCTTGGGTTTTGGGTTTACAATTAATTTGATAAATTTTCTAGCTAGTTGCGCGGCATTGACAAATGTTAAATAATAATTCGAGTCGTCGTCTAATGAAATTTGAGCCAAAAACCATGTCTTGTTGCCATAATGAGCGTGTCATTAACCGAAACGATAATGCGAATCCTTTGCCACCCATTAGGGCCGGGCCCAAATGAGCACTTGAAGCAGCCAAAAAGTTTGCACTCAACGATTTATGTGCGTGTGTGTGTGTGTGTGCGTGGGCGTGGGCGTGGGAATGTGCGTGTGGGCGTGGGCGTGGGCGTGGGCGTGGTAAATGTGCGATTCACTCAAAGCGTTAGCTAGTTGTACTTTGGCTAAAAACAAAATGTGCCCCAGGGGAACAACTAGAAATGCTTAGGACAGCTTCTAAATCAAATACACGAATATAGCTAAAAGCGAATTGGAAATGAGGGAATAGACAGACAGACACACAGACAGACCGATAGACAGACGGCGAGAGATAGAATGAGAGATAGATAGATATATGTACACTTAAAAGAAAAGGGGCATGGTGGGGAAAGTTCAACTCTTTTTGCCTATACCTGTTAAACAGCGAAATATAATTAAATTTTGCAGTGCGATTCGATGGCACGTGACGTGCCCAAGGAGCAGGCTGGCAAACGTCGTTGGCGGCGCGAACAACTGGAGGATGCCGAAAATGAAGCTGGCCAACTGCAGAGACGTTCACGTAAACGAATTAAGATATGCTTTGGCCGTAACACAAACACGGCCAACATCAATGCGGGTACCGAGGGCGCCGTGGCACGTTCTGTGGCCGCCATTGCCGTTGACTTTGCCAGCCTGGCCATTACGCGGGAGGAGACTGAATTCAGCACCAGTAACTATGATAACAAAAGCCACGCGGGCACCGAACTGACGACCATCTCTAGCGATGCCGATGACGTAAGTAGCTGCTGCAACTTGAGTAAAACCGAACTGAACGGAACTGAGCTAGTTACCTGTTCGCTGTTACCTGTTCGCTATTAGCTGTGCTCAAATGTTCCAGCTGCTCAGTTGTTTCAGCAGAACGAAGCTAATTGTTTCTGTTTGCTTTGTGTGTGTGTGTGTGTGTGTGTGTGCACATTCTTGTCTTTGTCGCTCAATGCTTTGCTTTTTCTCTCTCCTCTCTCTCTTTCTCTCGTTTTTTGTCTCACTTTCACCCTTTTATAGTATCGCACGAGCAATGCTAACGAAATCATAACGCTCTCACAGCAGGTGGCCAGCGCCGCACAGCAGCATCTAATAGCATCCCATTTGAATGCCATTACGCCGCTAGCACAATCCATCGCCATGGGCGGCCAGCCAACGGCAGCAGAGGGGGCTGGCACTGGTGCCACAAGTCCCAGTGGCACAATTGTTGGCCGGGGTGTACTGGCCAGCATTGCCAATCCACACCAGAAGCTGGCCAAACGACGCCAGTTGCTGGAGGCGAAACGTGAACGTAAAGCAGCGCAAACATTGGCCATCATCACCGGCGCCTTTGTCATCTGTTGGCTGCCCTTCTTTGTCATGGCCCTCACAATGAGCCTGTGCAAGGATTGCGAAATTCATCCAGCAGCTGCATCGCTATTCCTCTGGCTGGGCTATTTCAATTCGACGCTCAATCCGGTACGTATATAAGAGAACAAGCAGAAGAACAAACAGTTACGAAGTGAAACCCCAAAAGATTTGTCCATCTGTCCGCTGCAATACGTCTTTGTCCTGCGTCCTGTGTGTAACAAATGAGCCAAGTGTGGGTAATTCTGATTGGATGATTGATCTACCATATATATACATAAATCTCAATTGAATGTAGTTACACAGAACATAAAATAAAAAGAGCTGTAAATTTTGTTAATATTCAGTCATTTTTCAGCTTTTTTTCCCTTTTGAGAGCAGATATAATCAATTCCCAGCTGACTTAATTGAAGCATTGCAGTATTTTCATAGAGTTCTCTTTCCAATTGAATGATTGTATAAATGAATAGTTTTGCCAAATCTCTCTTTCTCTTTCTCAATGCATGCATATGCATGACTATTTGCAGCAGCTTAAGCTGCTTTAAAGCTTTGCAAAAGTATGGAATTTAATGCATTGTAAATTGGCATCTAATTGGATGATTGATGCAGCACTCAAGACAATTTCTTAAGCAAGAGAATATGCTTGAGTTGAATCGAATAAATTAGCGTAGAAATGATATAAAAAGTTTCATTTGATATTCAATTTACTTTGTGAAATCTTATAAAGAATGATAATATATATAATGATTATAAGTATATTTCTAAATATTAGAATATTTTCATATTTATTTATATTTTTTTTATAAATCAGAAAATTTTTCCGCGTATAGAATATCATTGACTTACAATAAGAACCTGCTCAGTTTTAGCCATTATCTCCCATCTTCTAACACACATTCAACTTCTACTTACACACAAAAATTCCCCCGTTTATACAGGTCATCTATACCATTTTCAATCCAGAGTTCCGTCGCGCCTTCAAGCGCATTCTATTTGGACGAAAGCATGCGGCACGAGCGCGCAGTGCGAAAATTTGATTTCAACTGAAAACCAACGAGGACCAGTATCTGTAAGCCACAACCTAAACCAAAGAGGTGAAAGCAAAAGTTACTAAGAAACTAACAAAATGGAAAAAAACAACAGGCATAACAAACTCACATAAATAATTCTGTATATAAACTCAAGAGATATCAACTCAGATGCCAACTGATCACAAATGGCATGTAAAAATGGATATGTAAATGAAACTGGATATGGAATTGATGTTAAAAGGCATTGCAGTAAAATGAAACTATAGTTAGGTGCTTAGATTTATAGTTTGTAGTGCGTTTGACGATATTTTTAGCAGAGACAATCCTAAGTACATGTACGCGATAAGTAATTCCTAAACCTACCTTAACGAATAACACACACGTGCCCCAAACTAGCAACCGACAAAGAAGCAGAAATCCAAAGCAAATAGATAACAATTTTTATAAGCTATATAGAAGATGTTAGCTGTTAAGAGTAATCACACATACACACACACACATACACACAAATGTATTCGTATACGTATTTGTAGTTGATTTATATATTTAGCTGTATGTGTATGTCTATTTAATTTGTAATATTTCTAAAGTCTTCCCTGTGTCTTAAAGAAAATGAAAATGAATAAATCTAGATATGTTTAGCATAGAAGTTTAGCAAAGCTTGGAAGATTGGCAATATTTGTTGTTTAGCATTATCTGTGTGTATATGTGCCCAAAAATATATATAGCTTGATATATATGTATACATATGTATATGTATATCTATTCCATTACTGATAAGGCTGGGTCCAACAAACTTTGTACGCTTTCAATTGTTCTGTGTTAGTTCTCGTAGCATAAGCAAAAGTCAACTTTTCTTATCTTTGTTCGTGTTCAATTAAATAACTAAATGAAATATTGGAAAATTAGATGAGAATGGCAAAATATAAATCGGCTAGCCGAAGACTAAATACTCTTGCAGAGAGCAAGATAATCGGGTTAATACATGTCGAGTAATTATTAGCGCATAAAATGTCCTCCTAAATATCTATAGCATACTTATAAGGGCATATATTATAAAGCAAGCAAACAAAACTCTACAACTTTACTGCAAGAGTATTATTAAAATTACCTATACTAAGCAATTTGTAACGAATTTACACACGCACACACAGACACGATATGAAAGTATCTGAATGTTGCCCCGAGCCAATTTACGAGCGTAAAATTCCAAAAAACCGTAAAACAAGATAACAAAAAACAGTTCGTAATTAAACTGAACATACAAAATAAAAAGCCACTTGATATGATGTCGGAATTGTGTAATCAAATTATGTGAATTATTATTATTCACATAGCCAAAGCGAAGTCAAACTTTTTGGCCTGGGCAACGTCAGGCACAGGGCCTGAACTGTGAGCACGTGCAATGCAGCCGAGTGCTGAGCCAGACACTCACGCACACATATACATACATACATATACATATATTTGTAGATATGCATATATATGCACCTTTCTTATTTTTCAGCAAAAAATAAATATCCTTTCGTTTATTTGAAAATTTGCATAGTGCTGCACGACTATTTTCATGGCCATGAAATAATTGCTTGAAATATTAAAATACCGAGAGAAAATAGCTCCTTTCAATTATGAAATTATTTACAAATTAAAGCTAAAGTTCTCATGCAAGACTTTGAGCATTCTCTTAAAATATTGTTAAAAATCCATTTAAAATTTATAGACCTGAAATATTTCGTCATCATAAATGATTAATTTTTTTATGGAATTTAATATATATCATATAAATGATATGAAAGCGTACTGACCTGAATCTCTTCATCATAAATGATTATTTGGTTATTTAAAAAAAAAAAAAAAAATATTTTTATTGAATGAAAATCTAATTTTTTATTTGCTTTAAATTTTTTATAAAAAAAAAAAAATTATTTTATTTCGTTTTATATTAGTTTGTTCAAATATATATAAATATATATATTTCCAAATATATATATTTTATAAAAAAAAAATTGTATTTTATATTAATTTGTTTAAGCTTTCAATAATATCAAACATATTCAGTTTAGTAGCACTTTAAAATATACTATGTATTATAATTTCAATTGATAATACAAATGAACTTGAACAACAACAAATGATATTAGATGTAATACGAATACGCTTCAATGTGCATAGAAAACAAAACTAAAAAAAAAAAACTATATACATACATACTGATATATATGTATATATATAAATAGATATGTATCAATATTCACACTACTCATGTATATTAGCTAGTAAGTACTTTGTAAGCCTAGCGGTTTATTACAAGTTTCTCGTCTGTGTGTCATTGCTAAACAAAAACAAAAACAACAACAACAACAACAACAAATCAAATTCTCGATGTGTACTTGATGTCAAAGTTATTAAAAATTGTGTTTTATCAAGAAGTTTCGAGTGTGTTTTATTCAAATTCGGACAAGCATATATAGTATTTATATATATTAATATGCCACAACTCTTGCCGCATTGTAGTGTGTGTGTGCGGGGTGGTCGGGCGGTCGGTTGAAGCTTTGAATTTGTTTGCACTCAGCTCAACTCAAAATTGACAAACTTTTCAACCGCACACACGTAAGCAAATGCCAGCGCATCGGCCAAATGCCAAAGTTCAAGTGCAAATTGTGTCAAGTGTTGCAGAATTCGGAATCGGCAACGGACAACAAATCGGATACAGATTCGGTATACGAATCGTTGTGCGTGTGTGTGTGTGTGCGTATGAGTATGAGTATGCTTGTGTGTGTGTTTCACTCATGGAGATGGATTACGCATTGGCATTATCAACACCGGAACAGGCGAAAGCCGACAAATGGCCCAGAAATGGTTGTGCTTCCAATGACAAACAGCCAGGCAGCTGGTAACCTGCCATGCCAAAAACAACAACAACAACAACAACAAAATCGATACATCATGCAATACTCGCATTACAGTGCCAGCCAGTTGAGCTGTTGTACTCGCACACGCACACGCACAGCGCTTCCACTCCTCCTGCTGCTCCCGCTGCTCCTGCTCCTTCACCTTATCGTTGTTATTCTTGCAGCTGACATTGTTGTCACCGCTGCTTGCCACATTGTTGCACTTGCAACTACCAAAACCTGCACTTATCAGGTGTCAGCAGCTGCTGCCCCAAAAAGCCAAAAAAAAAGGAGCAAAATAACGGCAACCAAAAGTTCTAAGTCGAAGACATGTGGCCTTTAGTTTTGACAATTTCTTTTTAATCTCATGCATGAAATATTGTCTAGCTTTGCGTCATCAATAAATTAAATGACGTATAAGCATAAGCCATATAATTATTTATTTAAGAAGGGCTTCTCAATCTCTTTTTAGGCTCATGCATAAATATAAAGGATATGTGCGTCATCAATAAATTAAATGACATTTCATAAGTAAAACAATAATTACTTATTTAAAGGGAGCTGAGGAAATACTTTGAAGAGACAACTATTAACTGGCAGTTATAATATTAACTGTAAATTAATCCAAAGCTAAAAAAAATTCGCATAATTCATCAAACGAAAATTTGAAAATATATAAGACTTTATTATAAATATATATGTTTTAATAATATTATATAAATAATAATATTATATAAATAAGCTTAAAACTAAATAAATTGTTAGCTTGCCGTACTCAAGTAGCTATAAATTTAATACATATATTAAGCAGGTAATCAAAGAGAGATTTAATTCTTTTAAAAAATATATACCGAAAGCTTACTCCATTTGTATTTCAATTTCAATTATATACACACATTTAATCAATTTATTTAATTTTTTTATTTTCTTCCTTAACCCATAATTGCTCGGCTTTCACACACACACAATACACACATGAAATTGCCAACACATTTTGTGATATGGCCCACAGCTAGGCGATACACTATATGCATAATTCATCTATTGGCTTAAAAACTGTGTGAAAAATCAATCAATAACTGTGCGTACGACCTGACAATGTTAAGTCATGTAGATTTTGTGTGTGTGTGTTTGGGGGGGGGAGTGTGGGACAATCCAATAAGCCCTGTCATAAGCCACAGCCAGAAGGCATAAAAGCCACAAAAATCCCAATGCTTTCAAATGTGCAACAGCAAACACCAGTGTGTGTGTGTGTGTATGTGTGTGTGTATGTTGTACGTGTAAATATACGTGCCTTTATTAGCTACTACACATTATTAATATCGTTAGCTCTCTCTTACCCACTCACTCCCTCGCTCTCTCTCTCTCTCTCTCTCTCTCCGACTCACTCTCTGCATCGGATAATGTCAATAAAATGCGTTTTATTAAAAAATTTCTTAGTGCTCCCAAAAGCAAAAAAAAACAAGTAAGAAAGCTCTAGTCGAGACTGCTCGACTACGAGATCCCCTGAACCCTTGGAGCAATAGATATTTCAATACTTTTTCGCGACTTTCAGCTTACACAAGAAACACGCACACACACACACACACACACGCACGTACGCACACACAGGTATACATACACACACACGCATACAGACACACATACTCACACACACGCATACAGACACAAACGCATACACACACACATACACACACACATACACATACAAGCAACCACGCATAAACACGCATGGGCTGCAGTGTGCGCTTACTATGAGAACTTAATTGTTTAATAACTTTTTTTATGGACGTACGATCTTCATGAAACTTTTAGATTATGATTATAACATGAATATGCATGTAATTTCCAAAGCACAAGTCTCTAGTATTTGAAATACGCTTTTTACAAAAGTGAGGGTGAGGGGGGTGAATTTAGAGGTGGGGGGTAAATTTTAACAAAAACCGAAATTGTATAAATTGCATATAAGCATACATTAAAAATTTGGAGACTCTAGCAATAAAGGTGTAGAAGATATAATTTTATAACTGGGTTTCGATAAGGTTTTTTATCGATAAAAAAAGATCGGGATGAGTTATCGATTTTTAATGATAAACTTGATATGCGCGCTGTAATTACGGACATTTTAAAAAAAATTTGAAGTCTCTAGCTCTTATATCTTCTGAAATCGACGCGTTCATACATACGGACAGACGGACAGACGGACAGACGGACAGACGGACAGACAGACGGACAGGGCCAAATCAACTCAGCTCGTCACCCTGATCAAGAATATATATACTTTGTGGGGTCTGCCACGCCTCCTTCTCCCTGTTACATACATTTCAACAAAACCATTATACCCTGATTTCCCATTGAAAATGGGTTCAGGGTATAAAAATACATAAAATCCCATAAATCGAATAAATATCGTTTGCTCAACGAGTGCCAAGAGTGTGTACGAGTGCGTTTGTGTGTGTCTGTGTGTGTGTGTCTGTGTGAGTGTGCGAGTAACAGTTAATATGCCACATGAGTGCCAGCACACTGTTTGCTCGAGCATTATACGTATTTTTTGAAGCCTGCTCGAATCGTATAAAAAATGAACAAAACTTGCCAAGCAATTCGAAAGGTATTAAAAGTATTAAACAGCAACGGCTGATTATAAACCTTGAAGAGCCAAAACTTGAAGGAAAGAAAAAAGTAGCCAAGTGCAGCAACATATCTATCAAATACTTTTAGCAGATATATACTTAAAGCTACTTGAGTGTGTGTGAGTGTGAGTGAGCAAATAGGACATGCTAGCTGCCAAGAGTATAAGTACTTAAACACATAGTGGCTAGGCAATCCATGTATGTATGTGTGTGTGTGTGTGTGTGTGTGAGTGTGTATGTGTTAAGGAAAGTTGTAATTGAATTGCAGCGAACGTGCGCAAATTGCTTGAAATGATTAAGAGCTTATGTCGCTGTATTAGTTCAAGGACTAAAACGACTTAGAGCAGGCAATTAAAACGCACGACGTCCACACACAAGCGATCAACCAAGCCACATGAAAAGTAAGTTTATACAAACATATAGCCAAAAGCTTTGATTACATTGCTGCCGGTGTGGAGGAGCAAAGATGGGAGTAGAAGTAGTAGTAGTTAATGAAATAGGAGTAACAGCAACAACATTGAAAGTTGGAGTAGGAGTAGAAGATGAAATGTGAAGAGGAACAGCAGTATAAGTGGGTAGGAAAAGGAATAGAAATAGGAGTAGGAGTAGAAGTAGAATTAGGAGTAGGAGCAGGATTAGAAGTAGGAATAAAAGTAGGAGTTGAAGCAGAAGTAGAAGTAGGAGTAGAAATAGGAATAGAGATAGGAGAAGAAGTAGAAGTAGAAGTGGGAGTAGAAGGGGAGTAGAAATAGGAGGTGAAGTAGGAGTAGAAGTAGGAGTAGAAGTAGGAGTAGAAATAGGAGTAGAAATAGGAGTAGAAGTAGAAGTAGAAGTAGGAATAGTAATAGGAATGAGAGTAGAAGTAGTAGAGGTAGTTGAAGTAGGAGTAGTACTTGGATTAGGGGTAGGAATAGGAGTAGAAGTGGGAGTAGAAGTAGGAGTAGAAAAAGGAGTAGAAATAGTAGTAGAAGTTGGAGTAGTAGTAGAATTATAAGTATAATTAGAATTAGAAGTAGAAATGGAAGTAGAAATGGAAGTAGAAGTAGAAGTAGAAGTGGGAGTAGGAGTAGAAGGAGGAGTAGAAGGTCTAGCAGCAGTAGGAGACCGAGTGAGAATAGAAGTAGGAACAGCAGCAGTAGATGTAACTGCAGCAGTAGGAGTATGAGCAGAACCAAAAACAACAACAGGCAAAATCAGAAGGAGCGGTTAGAGTAGAAGTAGAAGCAGGAATAGAAATAGCTGCAGCAGCAAGAGAATGAGTTGGAGCACAAGCAGTAGAAATAGCTGCTGCAGGAGGAGTATGAGCAGAAGCGAAAAAACCAAA